GCTGGATTTTTATTTTCACTGAAGCATCCCTTCAATAGCGAAAATAAATTCCAAGCGGAATTCTACAGTATGGAAGTTTCTCTCCTGGTTCTGGTTATGTAATCACCATCTTAAAATTGAATGTGGTCACAAATGTGCCTATTAATGAAAGGATCTGTGAAAACTGTGATGGCAATGACATTGAAGATGAACAGCATTTCTTCATGTCTTGTATGCTTTACCAAACACAACAGAAACAATTGTGCTTGTTTAAAAATAAATTTGAATTTCTTATAATAGTGCATCAACCCTTTCATGAAGTAGGCCTTCTATGGCCAAAATTAATGCTACAGTATTTTACTTATTAACAGGTGAATTTAAAATTATATGTCATGTTTGTCATCATGAGTTCATGCTGATAACAAAAATGTAAAAAAAGTCTGAAAATGTCATGGAAAATAGTCAAAATTAACATTTTTACACTGTTTTCTATGGTGAGATTATATCTTCATATCTCAAATGTTGCTTAGTGACATGGGATGAGAGATAAATTATTATTATCATTAATGTGAATCCTAAAAATCCTAAAAAAATGACATATAATTCTAGAATAGGTATAATATTGTGGGTTATGTTTTTTTGATGTAATCAAATTAATCAAGTTAACAGCTATTTTAATCATAAAATTGTAGTCTGTAAACGTGTCTGAAACTGCTTTTGGAGATAGAGCAATTTTTTTTTAATTCTGTATATTTAGGATATTCAGACAAAAATGGTTTTGTTTTTATTCATGCTCATTCTCACTAATATATTGCTCATTTCAGTTGAAAGTTTGCACACAAGTGTACCGTATACTCATAGTGTTGTTTTGTGATTTGATCATATTTGTTGAATTAATAGTCATTTTGCCTAAAATCATAAAATTGGAGTCTGTAGTAAAAGACAAAATGATTTCAATCAAACTTTGTATTCTGTATGCTGGCAAGTGCAGATGTCATATTTTAAAATTGTTATGGTATCCATGCTAGTTTTTTCTGGAATATGACTGCTTCTGTTCAATGTTGGCAAACAGATGATGCATGCCCTCAGCAGTAAAGGAAGCATAGATAAATAATAAGGTGTACAACCTGAAAAAAGCAAAGCAAAAAAACGTGATGTCATGGGAAAACAGAACTGGTAGTACCGGTAGATGCTTAATGAGTAGCTGATATGCTTTAGATTGTCACTAAAATCCAGATTAAATTGGTAATTAAAAGGACACTGACATCAATCAGACTATATATGATCGTTATTTTCTGTTAAATAAATGAATAGGAACAAAAGCATTAAAAAATATTATTCATAGAAAGCAGGACTGGTAACTTTCTGACAGAGCTGGTGAGATTTTACCTGCCCTGGTGTATGGGAGACAATTTTGATATCTTTCAAACACTCAATGCAGCTAATAACGTAATCTGTCTCTGTTCACAGGACCCAATTGATAGACTACGAAAGAATATTCTGAGTTTTGATTCTGTTGATCGAAAAGAAAGCGGGATCTATGCCTGTAATATTGAAACTACCGATGTCAGCTACAACTATACCTATTTATTGAAAGTTGAATGTAAGTAAATTACACAAGAGCCAGCTATTTGTTCATTTTATAATTTTGATTTCTTCAACAGTGCTAACCATAACTACTTGGCATGTGAAATGTATATATGTCCTTTCTCTGCTAACTGGATTATGAAGCCTCTGTAAACTAAATACCTCAATCAGTTTACACAGATGTCCTTTGGTGTTCAGTTTACACAGTTATCTCTTTTGTGTTCAGTTTACACAGGTATCTTTATGATATTCAGTTACACAGGTATCTTTATGGTGTTCAGTTTACACAGGCATTGATTTGCTTTTTAGTTTACACAGGTATTTCAGATGTTCAGTTTACATAGGTATCTCTTTTGAACTCGGTTTACACAGGTATCTTTATGGTGTTCAGTTTCACAGGTACATGTATTTTTCACTTGTTAGTTTACACGGGTATCTCTATGGTGTTCAATTTACATAGGTAGCCTTCACTGTTCAGTTTACACAGGAATCATTTTGTGTTCAATTTACACATACATTCTTTTGATGTTCAGTTTACACATACATTCTTTTGATGTTCAGTTTACACAGGTATTCCTTGGTGCTCAGCTTAATTAGTGTGGTACCTCTTTGTTCTACAGCTAATTGATACCATTTACATAACCATCAGTGTATACATTTCTTTCTTTCACCGTTACACAGTCAATATTTTTTTCTTTGTTTACAGACCCGCCTGAACTTTTGTCTTTTCCATCATCTGTCAAATTTGTACATCCGAACAGTAGTGTTAGCTTAGAGTGCCAATGCGATGGAGAACCAGTGCCTGTTGTCACATGGATGAAAGATGGTCAGCCTTACAGAAAAGGCAACAAGTTGAGACTAACAGGTAATAATACAATGCCATCTGGTGTTGAAAGTTATTTTTCTATTAAATCTTATGACCTGATCATGTGACTTTGCAGATGCTATCCCTCAAAACAACATGCACTATGGGGGGGGGGGACATTTTTGTTTAAATTATCAATT